CAGTGAGGAGAGAGGGGGCAAAGAGTAGATAAAAATCCTGCTATCTCAACACAGTATTACATCTGCCAGATGGTAATGATTTAATGATTTACACAAGAATACTTCGATTGCAGTCTCCCAGCTGATGCAACAGTTATAAAAGCTTGTAGGAAATAACATTTTTTGATCACCATGGGCTTGAGGCAATTTCCTCATCTTACTGGGACACACATATTCCCACTTCCACCCAGCTTAGCATTTGCATTGGGAACTCCTACAAGCTGAGACAAGTTATTTCATTTTTGTGCAACTGGCTAACGCACATGAATGCAAAATGAAACCCCAAGCAACAACAACAAAAAGACCAAGTCACAACACACCTGTGGCCACACCATCTTGTTGCTTGAAGCACTGATACCTCTGTTGCATCAGTCTTCCACACTATCAAACCAGTGTCTGTTCTTGATGAAGCTCTGTCTTGCACTAAATATCGTTCCTTGGTGTTTTCAGTGCAGCAGAGAGTATGTACTCCCTCACATGGAAAAGTTATTCTCACAAAAGAATTCAAATAAAAAACGTATGCCACTTTGAAAAAAATAATTCTAACATATTAAGTGAGAAAGTAATAACGTGGTTAGCTGAGGCTGCATCCTCACATATGGGCATGAACGGACATGTCAGTAACAAGGGTAAACTCAACTCTGTGCACGCTGCTTTGGTACATCATAGCATTTTTTAAAGGGTAACTTCCACTTTGCACTAGGAACAACATTCAATTTGCTCAAACTTAAGTTTGCAGAAAGATGGATGGGTCACCTGTCTAAAAAGCTGGAAAACAGTGAAGTGGTCAACTTGAAAAGACACTTTTCAAGCTGGAAGTGCCCTGATCATCACAACAGAGAAAGCAAAACCTTATAAACAAACAAAAAAAACCCGCACTTAAGAGGGAGGGACACAACACTGTTTTCAGTACAACATGATGCCATTTCAAGACGTTTGCCCTCCTTTATTGCCTTAAATCATACCTTTAATTTGGTTCTTCATAGTTGCATCTACAGTGTTTAGAAATAAAACACGCAGGACCAAAGCCCTCTGCCCTGGGGTCTCTGCTGGCTGCACCACCCTGCCATTGGTAAGCAGCTTGGGGTCTACCTCGGGGGAAGCTGCAGGAGGCTGTTGGCCCCTTCCTGCAACCAGCTGCTCTGCACAGCTGCACACAACACCAACTTGCTGAAGGCCAGCAGAAAAGAGTTGTGTTTTTGCCAATACGATAGAACTGGTTTTGATGTAAAATCCATTCGGAGGCCAGTACATCCCCTACCGTGTGTCTCACGTATGGAGACAAGCAGTGTTTGAGACCAGGCTACTGCCTGCAACAGGGAGAGAGCACATCTGCATCTAGACAGAGACATAACACTTGAGCACAGGTCGCAGGGTACTTTACACAGTGCTTGACCCAAGTGATAACCATTATGTGCTTTAGCTCACAACCACCCTGCCGCACCCTTCCTCCACCTCTGAACTAGAAGAACATGCTGCCTGCTATTCTGTCAAACAACCTGACCTCCCCACCTCTGCCACCCATCTCTCACTGGTTGCACTAACAAAGAGCTCATCTATTGTTTACCCTCTGTACTCTTTCCACCTTGTCCATGTCACCCCCAGAAACCTCTAAAGAAGATGCTGCCATGCCCCCTTCCCAGGCTCAGTAGCTTCCCCTCTTGTGAACTTCAGTTTTTCTCACTCATTTCTCTTCCACATCTCCAAATGCTAGTACCTCCTCTTGCTTGAGGTGAATCTCAATTCCTAATGCAGTTGACAGGTTCTCCTAACTTTTACAATCAGAACCACAATTTTTATTTTGCTTCTTTTTGTTGGGTCTTTTTTGGGGGGAGGTGGTAAGGGGAGGTTTGAAGAACAGACTCTTATTGCATAGTCCCTACATCTCTTTTTTTCTCCAAATACACTAATAATCATGCAACAATAAGTTCCAATCAGCACCAGTAATACTTAAAGAATCAGAAACTGAATTCAGTTTTTAGGTTTAAACAAGCATTTATTTCCCAGGACATCCTAGAGATCAGATATCCTCTACCTTCCAGGTACTGAGAGGTAGCAAGACACAAAACAGACTGTGGTCTTTTTCATAGCCTGTATTTCATCTAATCTGAAATTCAAAAGACACCTTGTACTTTAAAAACAGATCCCAATAGAAGAACTCATCCGACTGGAAACAATTGTGTATGTTTATTTTGTCACCAGTTCAACCCCATATGGTTTTCTCATCTCAAATTCTGCTGTCCTGCCAAAAATTACTTGCAAGTATCTTGTGACAGTGTAACAGGAACATAAGCACTGATAACAGTGAAGCACCAGGACAGCTTTGCTGAGGTTGGAATGCACTGCAAACACCCCACTTGTCCTAGAAGTCGGACTCTTGCACTGCCCCAACGTACCCCATACTAGTCTTCTCTATCAAATCTCATCAAGTAAAAACTCTTAGCTGTCTCTCACTCTTCAGCCAGCAGTAGCAACTTTTTGCTAATAATTTAGTCCAAAAACCTTACTTTAAAACATAAACCCTTCTTCTTATGGGACACAATTGGACATTTTGTCAAAACGATTAAACATTAGGGTTTCTCAGCAGGAGAGAGACAATTAAGGAAGTGGTATGTGTTTCAACAAGAACAAATGTTCAAGTCCAAAAGAAACAGAACGTGGCATAAGCCATCACAACTGAAAAGCAAGGAATCCCACTCATTCTGCTCCAACTTACCTTAATAATTACCTTAACATGTTTCAGAACCGGAAGCTAGATTAACACAGCCTAGCTTGTTAAGAGTTCTCATCAATTTATACTGAAACAAGTCCTTTGAATACATACTAAACAATCTGCAAACTCACTGATCTTCCTCAGGGAGTCTGCTCTTTCACCGTCACCGTTCCCAAAGCAAAAAGATCCAAGGATCTGGGTATTTCTAGGTTCCCAATAAAACTCTTCCATGGTGGTGCAACAGAGCTTTGCTTGTACAAAATTCCAGTTTGTACCAGCTATAGAAAAGCACAAAGTTCTTTGATTCATCTGTGTAGTTGATTAAGGCTTTTGAACTGTTTTGAGATCTGTGCAGTATGTACTTCAAAGCATTTTTCCAGTCTTTTAGCTATAGCAACTCATCTATTAGACATTTTAAATTTCAAATCAGCATTTTGAAATTAAAGTTTTATTCTGTGCTTCTTTTAGAACTGCTGTGATTAACTTACCTGATGCTCCCTGGAATTTTACAGCTAACATTAGGGCCATCAGAATTGTGCTTTCCTTCTTCAAACACACAGCCTCAGCTTGTGCATCTTGTATAGTCCATATATATTCCCCCAAATGACTTGCTAGGGCTTCAATTTTTTTCCTTTTTTGAGGGCTAGAGGATTTTAATCTTAAAAGAAGTGCTATTTCATATTTGTTTACTTAACATTATATTCTTCCTTCACATAACTATAAATGCTAAGAACACAAGAACACCGAAGTGATAAATATTCCCATACCAAATTCCCTTCAGAAACTGACCAGGGAGAAAAGACAGAATCTGTCTCTGAAACAAACCAGCCAACCCCACAAACTGCACCCACTTCCACCGCTTTAGCAAAGCACATTCATATTGCCGATGTTATGCTTCCCTCTACTGTTTATCAGAAGAAGTGCAGTTACAGTTTAACATCCTGAAATCTTCCTTTAAAAAACCCAACATAAAACCCAATCTTTAGTTGCAGGCAAAACTTAGCAAATAAGCTTAACGAAAGTTTAATTTTGTCCATGAAAAATTAGAGGCACTGATCAAAACTATCCCCACTTATGTCAAGCTCAATATTACATGAGATATCAACCACAACGTGCTAATTGTCTCATGTTGTAGTTTACAGCCCGAAAAAGTCAACTTCAAGCAGGCAAAAAACTTCAAAGACCAAAGCAATGTAACAAAGAGTGAAAAAAAAAAAGTCAAGAACCAAAGACTTATCATGGAAATAACTAGTCATGTGCATCACAAAACAGTGTTATGTATTTCACATAATTGATTTCAAGAAATTAATTACACGGATACATTAAAACTGTCAAAGCAATAGTGGTCTTTATTTCCATCAGACAAGTTAACACTTTGATTACTATTAATTTATTTCAAGATCTGGGAGATACAGAAATTAATGACTACTAAAAAATGGAAATATCCCCCCTTCCAAAAATATATTGGATAATATGTGCCTGAATTTTATACTGTCCCCTTGACGAGCCCCTTGCATTATGTGACATCACATACAGTTTTGCAAGACAACAGAATTTATGGACTGGTTTTCAGCCTCTGATTTGCAAGTCTTCAAAGGTGTCTAAGACAAACAAGCTTATACATGCTACGCAGCAACCAAAGTACATAGATCTCAAAGGGGTCTCAGTTCAGCTGGTGGGGAGAGGGGAAAGAAATCTAGAGAGGTCCACAAATCAAAAAAGGCAGAAAATACTGTATGGGAATGAACATTCAAATCTTAGTGTCCTGGAGGGAAAGTTAACATTAGCTTAAAACTGGAAAATACATTAGTCAGTATGTTTCTAACTTTAGAAACTGGGCTTTGAATACTGCAGTTATCAGTTGTTTTTGAATAAGAACAAGTAAAAATTGCAGACTACAGAAGTCTTCAAATAAACAAAAATAATCTCCTCCCTTTGCCATCTAAAGCCAAGCATGTACCATATGAATAACATCTGTACTACAGAACTCCTCATACAGATTAGAGATTCTCAACAGGATTTCATTTTAGTATCAAGCCAATGATTAAAATTTTAGTTTGCATCTTGTTTAAAGTTTTTAATATAGAGAATTAGTCCCGCAAAACCAGTTAACAGTCTGTTCCTGTTGCAAGCCATGAATACTGAAAAGAAAAATAAAAATTCACAATCTTAGACCCCCTGTCCCCACAAAATTTTCTTGCAGTCTTGACAAGAAACCCACATAGTCATAGAAAACTTGCAATATTTTTTTTTGGGGGGGTGGAGTAATGCTAGATTAAAAAAAGTATCTCATCTCATGAGGAAAGGAAAGGCAACAAATCAATGACTAGTTTTCACAGTAATATGCATCAGCTTTGTAGTTTCATTTGAAACCAAGAACAAATCATGAAACGTCATGAAAATAAGATTAAAAAATCTCCTAGAGTGATTACCAAATGAAGTTAAAGTTACCACACTAATCAGTAAACCCCAGAAGAAAAGCAGATGCCTCACATCCCAGGCCCTATGTTAAACAGAATCCACTTTTTAAAATAAATCCATAAAATCTGTATGTTTGGCCACTTTGCACATTTTTTCCCTAAAAAATACAGTGTAGAGAAAAAAAAATCTTATTATTCCCAGTATGAATTCTGTAGTATAAGCTTAAAACCCAGAAGTTAAAGATCAGCTAAAAGGATTTTAAATTATTTACAAATCCAGCAGGTAGAACTACCATAATGGCTTCACTTCCATCCTCGTAGTGGCTTTCACTCTTATCCAGCAGCATCTGCAGTAGGAATCTCTTCAGACACCTTCATCACTGATCATCTGTCATCTTAAGCAATTCTAGAAGAGCCCCAACAGCTCCAAAATAACCCTTTAAAGAAGGCAAAAGCAAAACACAATCAAATTCCAAAAACAGACATCAGCATGAGCATTGAAAGCCTTCAGTTCGAACGGTACGGCAATTAAAAGACTTTCCTTATAAGATCAGTCCTGCTGTGCCAAGTATTTGCTGTATCTGAATTAGGATCTTCTTTAGGTCCAAGAAAGGGCCTTATACCAAGAGAAATCTTACCGAATTCTCAAAAATTGTCAAAAAAGAAGAAATTACAGAACCACTACAACAATGCTGTATTGAGACAGGGCACTTTCCATTATGAACACATCCACCTGACAGTCACCTCAAAATTATGCCTATAAAAATTTAATTCTAGTTGAGGTTTATATGCCTGACCACACAAATGCACATTGTTGGTACTAGGGCCAGGAAGCAATAATAAGAGATGTGCAACATTTAGCAACAAATACCACGAGATTAGTGGTCAAGCCAGGGAGTTAATGAGGAACATTTTGAAATGAATCTGTAATTAAATTATATTTATGCAGAACTTACTTTGTGCATCCACTTCAAAGCAATGGAATTGGAATTGCCCTGTTTTAACTTTCTCAAGTCAAGAACCACAAGACTTTTGCACTTACAAACAGAAGTTCAGTATGCATTTCCTTACCTCATGTTCCAAAAACAGAGCTTTCAGCTGTCCCTTGGACCAATAATCCATAGCATATGCTAGCACCTTCATAGAAACCATATTAATTCTGAGAAAGTTGCCAACAAATACCACCTTGTCGATGTTCTGTAAAATTGAAAAGCAGAGTAGCAAAAATTATATTCAGCTACATTATCTTCCTCATTCAACAGGTACTTGTGCCTCCACTACAAATGGGAGTTGTGGGTTACATTTTAATTGTCCAGACTGAAAAAATAAAAAAAAAATAATTGCAGTTACTGACCACTAAGTAGGGATGTTGCAAGAAAAAAAAAGTTTTATTCCAAAAAAAGTGGGAGGCTGATATCACAGATTGTGAATATTTGCTTAAAAGCCCAGGACCTTCCCAACATGAGCAGGATGAGTGTTTTGTTGTTGTGGTTTGGGGGTTAGTTTTGGGGTTTTTTTTTTTGTAATTGTATACAACGTTGCTGCACTGAAGACGTCTTCTCCCCCTGGTTGTTAAATGAAGCAACTTGGCAGAGATCACTGTGACTATTAAACGCAGGCAGAGAATCTCTGAAGGGTTGCTGAGAAGGGTTATGTTAGACATGGGAAGAAGCATCTTTCATTATCTACTGCCTGGACTGTGGTTCCATTTTCAAAAAGCAAGCAAAACATGGCCAGCATGATACTTGACATGTATTACATTCCTTTGTTTCAAAGCTCACTTGAGCTCAGTTTTCATACAGAAGTTTAAGATTTTTGAACAATCAGCACTGCACTGTGAGAAAGCCACACACTATCCTTCTTTGTGCGCACATCAGTGTGCGTAAGCAATGATTCTGGTGCTTAAACAGTGCCCGTATCTACCTTACCAAGTGTACTTTTGCCTGTCACACACAAAAATGAACTTGAACTTGAGTTGGTCTACCATATGATGTTCACCATACACTAGAATTGGTCTAGAAGATTCCATAGGAGGCCAAACCCTGGAGACATAAGCTTTTACAGGAGTCTTGAAGGAGCCCTAGAAATGTTATCTTCAAGAGTCCTCTGCTGAAAATTACCAGAAAAAAAAAATCTGCTTACAGGCTAGAATTACCAAGTGTTACCTCTGTAGATTCACACAGCCCTATAAAGCCCAACACTTGGTTCTGCAGCAATTACTCTGCTACAGAAGGCAGTTTTTGTTGTGTCCAGGACTGTGCATGTGACATACCACAGAGACCACGCTCACGTATTGGAAAGTGCCAATACCCAGATGCAAGAACTCATTTATCCATTTTCCAATGGCCAAGTTACACGTCTGATTGTCCTCAAGCCAAACACTTCAACACAGACTTTATTTAAATATAATTCACCTTTATAGTAATCTATCCCCTTAGCCTCTGCAGTGACATCGGCATGCATTCATACTGGTTCCTAGGAACTATATGGCTGAAAAGAACTCTCAAATTTAAAAAGGCTGCTATTAAATGTGGCCAAGAACACTCTGAATCCTCTGACCAGGCAGTTTTGTCTCTGAAGTGATTTGTGACAAAGGAGGGACAAATATGTTAAATAATTTCCTGTCATGCAATACCATCAAATTGATCAGAATCTACATGTGAATTTCATTTTCATTAAATTATTTTTTTGATGAATATACTCACGAAGCTACTATTACCAGAAATTCAACCAAGCAGTACCTAACACCAAGTATAAAAATTACTGAAAATTTTTCATCTAAAAATACTAACATTGACTAGAATAGCAGAGTGTGTATCAACATTCAAATTTCATATCAATTTTATTTTCCAACATTCCTTGACAAGGTTAAAAATTATGTTAAAGATGTAAAGTTTCCTAAATTTTTGAACTGAACTAAAAACAGTTTTACTATTTTTCAGGAGTTGGAAAATAAATAAATGCTACTTTTATCTCTTAAAGGAGTCTTGACTATTTACTTTTAAATTGTTCACTGCCGAAATACTCAAAGATGAAAGACAGAAGTCCTAAACTGATGAAGGAATGGTGATGAAATGCTTCCTTAAGCTAATCAAATTACAACATCCTGGAGAAGACAGGAACTCTCTCACTCTGTGGGGTCTTGCTAAATTGTTCTACTATGCTGCAGCAGAATACTATAATATAGCTTCAATAGAGTATATACATATATTTGCCTATATAATTGAGTAGGGGAATCTGTTTCAAAGATGCAATAAGAAACCTGCACATATTTTCACAAGAAGCTTCATTCATATGCAATTTACGTGTTGTGCTAGTAAGAAAAGTATAAACCAAGGAGATTGGTTTCCTTTATACAGTTTTGCTGTGCCCAGGACAGGCTGTTTCAAATGATGTGTAGCCAAATGGTTCCAGACTATGGAATTTTTCTACCCCACTGCCAACTTTGTGCAAGCAAACTTTGCTTTGAAGTTCTGCAGAGGGAATATTTCACTTATTTCCCAGCCTCATTTTTTTCCTGCACATATGCAAGACATTTTCAATACAATATTAAAGCTGCAATCATTGAAAAAAACCATAGCAAAACTCATACTTCAAGGCATAAATTGATTTTGTCAAATAATCTAAAAGTGAGCTTCACCATAGCCCTAATCTAATACACACAAACCCCACAAAAGAATATATCAAATCCAACTGTTTTTTTAAGCTCTTACTTAGCATTTCATTCATCAAGCTGGGTGAGAGTCAGAGCTGTAGCTCCTAAAGGCAATTTAAGTGTCTAGATTATTTAGCAGAATGGTAGCATCACTTTTTTCCCTCCTGGAAGCAAGCTATCTAGAGATAAGCTTACTTGCAACTGTGTACCATGTTTGAATTTTTATTTTTAATAGTATGCAAAGCTACTAAATGAAGTTTTCATTCTCTAAAACTACAGAATAATTTAGTTCAAGTGTTAGAGAAATCCTACTCCGACACTGTCTGGGAAATGAAGAATACTTTACACACCAATTCACATTCCTCCACAAAATGCTATGGATCACGTCCAGTTTTTAAGTAAGCAGGCCCACAAAACAAAGATGTTAGAAGCTTTTTCACAATGATTCGTAAGCATTAGTTTCATTAGTAGCCTACTTCCTCCTCTGAATGCATTGCACGTGGTTCCCTGCTGCAACTCTCCATGCTTTGATAGCCCTGTACAATGCTGCTTGAACTCCATGCCACAAGGCAACACTGTAAAGAAGCTGAAAGCAAAGAGAACGCTGAATGAGAATTATCCTGACTGAATGAGTCAAATTGCAAAAAAAGCAATGTCTGGACCCACTTTTCACAATGATGAGAGGTTATCAGTGGCATTTCATAGGGGCATACACTAAGACTTGTGCTGTTCAACATATTTTAAAAGTGCTCTAGAGAGGGATATTAACAACAAACAACATTAATTGCCTGAATAAAAAAATGAACAGCATAGCAATGCCGAAGACACTTACACTCAGTGACTGAGGAATAAAGCAGCAGATGAAGTTTAAATTGAAAAATTGAAATGACATGAATGTAAGGGGATAGAGACAGACAGACTTCAGTATTCAGACACAATGATAGGCTCCAAACTAGCCACCAACACTCAAGAAAGACTGTGGGGGGACTGTTGGTGGTTTCTTAAAAATGCGAGCTCCATGCTCACAAAAATAAAATATTAAGAACTGTTAGTAAAGGAACTCAGAACATGAAATTTATCAATAGGCCATCACACAAATTCATTGTGCAACGACACTCTGAAGACTGCATGAAGATCGGACAATTTGATCCCAAAATTAGAGCCATAAAAAGATAAAAAGAAACAGAAAAACAGTGTCTCCCATGCGAGAGGAGACTAAGTATTAGGACTTTGTGTCTTGCAAAGACCAAGAGGTAGATGTGGTAAAGATTTAATGAAAAACAAAACCAAAACCCACCAAAAAGCACTAGTGAAGTATTATTTGCTTTTTCTCATGAAGAAGCTAGACACGACCTAATATAGTAATCAGATGGCAGTTCGGTAAATTTTTTTGTTTTGTTAGGTGTTTTTTAGGCTGTATGGGTATGCTGCTGATTAAAAAAATAAAAAAGAAGCACTTTCTTCTAGCTACAGAATGCTGTGGAACTAAAAATGTCTATGTATTAAAAAGAATAGATAAATTCACTGAGAGCAGATAAAAGAGATTAGTTACCATATAACAGTAAAGGATACAATTTGCATCTCAAAACCAGTGCCTAAATGTTTGGGGTTTTGGTTTGTTTTTTTCAAACTGCTGGAAGCTGGAAAGGTGTATGAATGGAACAATCTATCCATAGTTATCATGCCTAAAGAAAATAATGTAACAAGCATCTGATAGGAGTTTGAGGCAGGATAACGAACTATATTTTTCTTCTCTCTGAGCCAATACAATGGATCATATATCTATCAAAGCATTTAACACAATACACAATTCGAATCCATCATGCTGTGGAAACAAGCCAAGCAAAATACTATTTCTTTAAAAGAAATCTGTTATGGTATAGTAAGATCTGTTAATAACTACAAGATAATTGCGAGTACTAATTTGGATTACAAAGGCGTTAATATCTATCACAGCTGGAGTGCAACTGAATAGCTCTAGGCATCAATGGTTTAAGGAGATCTTCAGAGTCAACTTTTCTCCCCTCTTCCCTACCTTTGAAGCTCACCTTACACTTTGCATCAAAGCATACACATAACACCAAACACAAGAGTTAGGACACCATATTAAATATATGCATATTTACTAAGGCCAGTTACACACCTACTATACCAGCAATTTGCATTTTTGCATTCTGATCTTACTACGTTGTTTCTAAAGGTTTTACACTCATAGTAAATATGCTATCTTACCTCATTCAATGCACACATGCGAGCAATAGAACCTATGTTGTTGGTGATGGTGACCAAAGTAGCTCTGGCCAAGTCCTCTTTACTGATGGAATCTCTCTTTTCTTTACTCATCATATGACCAAAGCTGTGTGAGGAAGATTATTCCTTTTAATAAAAATTATTTAGAAGTGCTATAAGCCCTTAGAAATTTTATAATTTAATAAGCTTTGCTTGGATTTGATATCCATTGATTTGAGACAGATTTGAAATGTGAAACGGGATGCCATTGGAAAGGCAGAACAATGAGCAAAGACACTGCTTCTAAAATAACTGTAATTTAAATGGAAGCACACTACATCAAGCATTGCTTATACCTGTTTAAAAAAGAGCAAGAAGTAGGTGAGAGATCTAAGGACAAACCACATGATACACTCAGAGTGACATTTCCACAGGGACATGGTGCATAGTCCAGGGATTACGCACTCAGTTCAGCATGCACAGAAAGTTTCCCAAGGAACTCCTTAAAAACAGCTCAATTAACACGCACCTTGAGGCTACAGCAGACCCTTGAAGGCCAAACCGCTCGTAGTCTCCTCCGTAAATATCTTTCACCAGTTTATCCACGTTGGTGCTGTCTCCTTTCGCAGCCATTTCTAGCGCTTCTTCAAATGTCTCACAGCCAGTCAGCAGGCAGCACAGGCCCAGGAATGTTCCTCCTCCAAGGCTAGAAAAGCACAGTTTCTTCAGACCAGCAGCTTGAACCAGCTTTTACCACAGCTTTTCAGACTCCCATTTCCCACATGGTCCACACAGCTACCAACTGTATCTTGTAATTCCTCCCCCAGAGGAGTGAAGACAGACACCCTAAATTGAGTTTCTATTCAACACAAATGTTATCCAGCATGGTTTTAACTGAACTACTCTGAAGTAATTAATATTTAAACACAAGAAATTATGCTAAGTAAAGGGTGATCTGATCTGGGTCCAACCCAAACACCACAGTCGTCGATTTGCTATTTGTAGCACTCCAGCAAATTTTCCCTGTGCAAGAATAATTAGCCAGCAGATCACTTAAGTCAGTGATGACAGAATAAACAGCGATCAAAGCTAAATATCTATGAAGGGGCAGGCATCCAAGACAGATCTTGTTCTCCGAGACAGTGTCAGGAACCAGTCTGGTTGGTTCTTGTTCAAAGCAAGGCTAGCATCAGCTCTGAATGTCTCAGCCCTCTAAAGAACACTGAGCAAGGAGCAGTCACTTCATTATCTTGCACAGGCTCAAGTACAATATTTGCTGACTATATACATTTATCAGGGAGCATTTGACTGTGCATAACAGGTTGCTAATTCATTTAATTAAAATTCTACTTTGGACTCTTCAGTCTTAACAGACATGAACTTCAACTTACTAACTTCTATAACTTTCCCCATTCTTTCTTAACCCTTGAGAAAGTTACCTTATTTGCACTGTTTGCAGTCAAACCAACTGAAGTCACTGTAAACAAGAGGATCAGGGAGACACCACACTTGCACTTCACAAAAAAGCACAGGAGGTCAGACAGGAACACCATTCAGTCAGTGCTCTTGGATTATTAGGCAAGTTTTTCAGAACACATCTAGTAGCATTGTAATATATTCAGCATCTGAGCAGAAGGAAGGTCTGCACACCAGCCACAAGACAGTATTGGTTTTTTTTTTCTAGGTTTCTGGTTTGGTGGGTTTGTTTTTGTTTTTTTAATTACTAAAAATGAAGTATATCAATGTAGTTCACATGTATGAGGAAAAAGTGGGATAGATTCATGTTTTTTTTTACTACTAGTCTGGATGGAGACATTTGTAACTAAAGCGGTTTCCTGTAAGTAAGCACTGTTGCCACATCTATAGAATAAACTTAAACAAGCCTCAGCCTGTTTTTTGGCCTTGAGAACAAAATTCTGCATCCACACTACTGAACTCCGGAATTCCTAAAGAGAGCAGGCACATCAAAATCTCTTACTGAACACAGGCCATGGACCATTTCAACTCAGCTGTACCCTACAAGCCATTTCAGAGAGCACTAGCTGACCCAGGCTGAAATCACACTGAGGATGAAGAATACACACAATCCAATTCCAGTCTTCACACTCTGGCATGCCTTAATTTACCAGCATGGTCCAAAGACTAACGCAATCAGTATGGAAACAAGAGATCTAGTGAGATTCCGCCACCAAAATTCAGTAGTAGCAGGTAGTTCTACAAAGTTTTCCTACATCCTGGATACATCCTAACTACTTAGCAAGAGGTTTTTGCTTAGGCCAAATATTTTTATTTCACTGCTCTGGTTGTTCTGGGGGATCAAAGCAGGGGAGAGAAGATCTATTTACTGGAACAGCTTTATTTTGGTAATTCACAGCAGGAGCTAGGAAATAGGTAAGGGCACCAGGAAGAGACAAAGGCAGCTCTGAAGCTGAATAGATCAATTACTTCTCTGATGCAGACCACCTCTCTGAAGGAATCCAAGGATATTTCCAGCCTTGCTACTGATGGGCTCTCAAATTAAATGGAAAGACAAGCATAATTTGGGGCTGCACCTACTAGTCACACTGTCTGGTTGTACCTGTTCAATTATAGAGGAGAAAAGAAAACAGAATTAAAAGAACACAGAATTAATTTTACCTGGATCCTGTGACTCTCTTATAGTTGTCCTTAGAATACACAGCTAGGATGCTGACCCCTGAGCCTATGTTAACCAGCAGCATTGGATAAGGATTATCAAGGCAGTAAGGCTTTTTCTGGCACTGTTCAGGATCTGTAGGATTTTCAAAATAATAGCACTCTGGTTGGCCATTGAAACCAACAGAATCAACATAAAGGAGGCCCTGGATCAAACAGTCCAATTCATCCAGTTTATGGAGTTGTAGATCTGCAATCTGGAAAAGAACAAGAAATTAACAAACATTTCCTAGTGTACTACAACACAGAAGGACAAAAGACTCCGCTGAAGCACTCTGATCACTTTAATAGCAACACATTGTGCTATTTAAACAGGACAAAGATTTGTCTAAGCATGAAGTCTGAAATAAAAAATGTTTGCTATCTGCCTGACAATGGGTACTTCCCAAAACAATGGTATGCTGCACAGTAATATAATTCACTTCCTTTGCCTTTGAGATACTCCCTGCTCTGGAAAGTATTTCCCCCCCACCCAGCATTCTGAAGCAATAAATTTCTTTCCCCTCATCCCCATCCCAAGAGGAGCTGCGTTCTGCAGCTTTTGGACAGTATCTGACACATGTCTGCACAGCAGCATTCCTCAGGATGCAAAGTGCTTTAACTCATCATCCAACTACATTTCCCAGCAATTTTATGACATTCTTAATAGAAGGGTTAAGATGAAGAAACTTTAGTTAAAGAACAAGATAGTTAAAGCCTTATAAACTGCACACACTTACATTAATATGCACAAAATATACTTAAAATATTTGCAATTTTTAGCATATATCACCAGTAATCTGAGAGAGCTATTTCTTTAAATTACAATGAGCACTTTAAAATGCCTCATGAAAAATAGGGTGTTCCTAATGTTTGTTGAGAAACAACATTAAAAAGACCAAACAAAAATACTGCCAGGCCCATGCCCCCAGCAAAATGTTTATAAAAATATAGCTGTAAGACAAGGCAGAAAAACAATTATAAGAGCTTAAAAAGGCCATTCCCTCCGAGATCTCACAGGTCACCCATGACTGTACTCAAACAGACATGTCTACTTGCCATAGCGTTCTGCTTACTAGAATTACAAATCACATCCCTTTCTTGAAATAGGATACAGTGACAATCTGTAGAAAGTCTCCTTTCCAGATGACATTGAGCTTAGACTTGTGTTAGGGAGAAGGAGAAAAAATAGTAAAGTTGTCCATCCAAACCCTGAGGTTATTCACATCCTCACACCTGCAAAGTAGGTCTTAGTTAACTCTACTTTTAGCAGAAAAAGCAACAGGGTATTAGGAACAAAAGGGAATTACACAGCACAGAGATGGTTCTCAAACACTGGCATATTGCAGGATGTGTTTATAACAGCTACCTCCTATTTTTAATTCTGGAAGCTATATTAAGTCACTATAAAGAGGAAAGATATTTCTGTGGAATTGGCACGGCCAGTAGGTTACATTCTTTTGAGCTATTTAAATCTCTCCCCTTAAGTTTTTTTTTCTCTACTTGTACATAGCTCTAGCTTGCCTTAACTGAAAGCCATTCTACTCTTTGGGTCTGCCTTTTTGTTATACTTGCTAGTCCTCAAATCCTGGAACCATAGAAAAGAAATAAGACAAAAAAAAAAAACAAAACCCCAAGCCAGCAGTCTCAAACACCGCAATACGGATCCAGTTATTCACAGTACAATAGAGACAGGTGGAGATAATTTCTTCTTGTCTCAGTATTTCCTCCTGTAACTTTTGCAATACCTTAATAATTTTTTTTTTTGGTTACCACATGGCTACACAAATTACAGTTAGCCAAATGCTCATAAAAAGATCAAACCATTTTGACAGCAAATAAAAAGAATAAACACAGATTGGGAGAAAAGGTTTTTAGAGAAATGTTACAAAAATCTTAAGGCTGCTTTGCAAATATCTTGGATTTCAGCAATTTCTTGCTACTAGACTGAGAGGAAAAGCTCCAATCAAGAGATATACAATATGAGGCATTAACATAATAAATCGTTTGTGCACTTTTTCTCATCCTGGACATTGCATGGAGCCCACTAAGTCATCACTCCTTAGAGGATTGATTTATTGTTAAAACCCAAATAACGTTGCACACAGCTAGTCAAAATAAGGAAAGATTCTATACTAACTATGATCTTTCTCTAGGTTATGTGCTCTACAGTCTCCATTTCTTCATCTTACTGTGTAAGCTAGATTCAGCATGACCAAACATGATCTAACACAGATACAACATGCACAAACATGCTATGAACCAGAAGCCTGCTATACAACTCACTAGCAGATTTATGACCCCCACTGTCAAAACCTCTGTTCTCCCATAAGTCAGATACCCAGCCACAAGCTGCTTTTATCCCAACCATGTTACAATTTTATAAATAGGTAAGTGTCAGTGAGAGACCTTGCAAGGCATGAGCAAGCAATACAAATCTAAGAGTAAAACACTTCTGGCATCAGTGCAAAGACACAGACAAAATCCATGTTTCTACAAATTCTCCAGTCAGCCCATCCATTTTGTAAGGACAGAACAAAAGAAACTAATCAAAGGTTCTTTTTAAAACACTTTTGTGTTTATTAGGTCCAGCCTTCTACATATAAGACATACTAGAATTTGCTCTGCTTTTTATAGCTCTGTGCCATATTTAACAGCTGATATACTGTAAGGAGAAAAGCCCTATTACTGCTTTCTTGCATTTATGGTATTCACAGGAGACCGAAGAACTATTTTCCTGCATTGTTGCAGCAGTCTGGTTTTCATTTTTGGAAGGAGCAAGACTGGCATCAGTATTCAACGTCGATCTGCAAGCTCTGCAGCTGCCAGATCTGAGGCTCCAAACTGCCCATGTGAAACACCACTGCTCTTGTTTCTAAAGACAAATTAGGGCACAGTTGCTAGAAATGTAGCAACCCTCTCTTGTACGGAAAAGCCACGATAGAGCCATGGTTGCAATTCCCAGTCCCTTTCCCTGCATATAGAACTGACCTTTCTCTATTCATTGGTTTGTTCACAAAGACTCAAGCAGCAAAACCACATCACAAAATAGATGTGCCTGTAAACACTACAACTAATGTATGAGCAGGCAAACTTTTTTTTCTGGTGCCATCACCTTACCTACCACACTCTACTTGTCCTCATCTTTCAGCTGTTCAAATCATCCTTCCTTGCAGGAAACAACGTTTATGTGCAAAAATGTGAAAAAAAAAAAAAAAAAAAAGGAGCTGTGTATAGAAGCATATACTAATTGGATGTTTTTCCTACAATTTTTACAAAATGCATTTGCAGATATTTCCCAGCCCTTTACAAGCCCAAATGTGAAGGCAAACAGCACAATGGTCAATTTACCCTGCTCTGCACCCCTGTAACTATATTCAGTGCAGTGCCTCTCTAGAGAAGTTTTATGTCAGAAAGTTGTGCTATGAGAGGAAGAACTGCAGAACAAAGTAGTATACGGGACCCTGAAGGGAGAATTTATGATGGTTACACGGAAACCATATGTACATTTTTTAAAGGAACAACTTTTCTGCATTATAGCCAGACTGTAGAAATTCCTCTTATTTTAGACTGTGTTTTGAATACCATGGCAGGGGAGAGAACAAACACATTGGACCTCAGGGAATTCTTCAGGACCATCAAAAGGAGGGACTCGGGATGTTAACCATGTCTAAAAGCAGGTGCAACATGGTAAGAAAGTAGTGAACACTTCCACATGATAGTTCACACCTTTGTAACAAACTCCTGAAACCCAGCTGATTTCAAGGACACACAAAAGGTCTGTTGTTACTGTGTACAGATGCTATTCTGAGGAGAACAAAAGCCCACCTCTTGTTGTACACTTGGAAGAAGTGCTGGAAAATGGTACTCTGTTCAAGGTTGGTTGTTTTGGTTTGTTTTCTTTTTTTTTTTAATAATATGCATAATGTCAAACAATTTTTAGCTGTATTCAAGTACCAGACAGTATAAAAGGAAAAAAAAAGGTACCAACTTGCTGCAGCTTTGAAGTATGGAAGCACAGTTGGGTCATGTTTGTTTCTTTTTATGGGTAAATATTTCCACCTCAGCAAGAAAAACATGAAACAGCTCAGTCCTCTAGAAGTGAGCTGAGAGCAGCTATGACATGTATACAGTGGGGCTGAAACCTAACGGATCAACACTGGTCTGCAGACATCTTTTCAGTGTTGCTCTAGCTCATGAAAGATTTCACCCAGTTTGAATCTTCACACTGTTACTGAGCTCTGGTGAGTGCAGGAATGTTCAAACCTAAATGCAGTTATGAGTTCATCTCTCTCTTGGACCTTCAATCTGAAATACTAATATTTTTCTGTAAGAAACTGTTAGGAACATAATATCTTGCAAGTTTTAAATTATCAGTTACAACAGCCTCGTTTACTATATCACTCTGGCTCTTATATGCCTTCTGGGCATTGCTCCAGTTTTTATTTTTTTATGATAGCTTACAGTCTAGCTTTTTCTTCCATCTCCCTCCCATTACCTCTCCTTCACTTTCACAAAGACGTACTTTGCTTCCTTTACATTTTGATTGCCTTCACCTCAACCCCCACCCCTGCTTCTTTTTGAGCTCAGATGAGGTCTTCCCCACTGCTCGTTCCAGACCCTGAGGCTCGGAAATATCCACTCACACTCAAACAAGACAAAGTCTACTGCAAATAAAGGGTAAACCTAACATTTGCTGAGGCGGAAGAGAAGACAGACTCCGCATTAGTCTGGGATCCTCTGCAGAGGATCTGCCCTCTCACCCAGCTAGCTGTAAGGATCTCTTGCCTCTCTTAACAGGGAAGACATTGTTTCTCCCCATTCCCTCTGAAGAGCTTCCTAGCTTCTTGGAATGATGGTAACCGAAGGTATCATGGTTGCTTCACCTGTTCTTTGGATGCCACTTTCAATGCCACCCCAGTTCACAGGGTCCACAGGCCAGCACCTACAGCCCGAGCAGTATTGTCCAGCCTCCGCAAGCAGGTGAGGTGCAACAAGATTTTGAATGTCTTACGCTAACACAGCTTACTCATCCTACAACACAGGCCAGTGAGTTTATTTATTTTAAGATAAATACAGTCTACAAGTCATCCACAGGCATTCAGTTCCTACCACAAAGTCAAGCCTTAGAATCAACTAATAACTGGCACAAGGAAAGCACTCTCCTACAGCCAAGCTTACTCTTAAAGCACTTTTCTTACAGATTACGGGGAAGGTC